ATTATTATATGATAAAATAATAAAGGAGGATGAGGCAGAAGAAAGAAAAGAATGAGGAAGCAGAAAAGGTGCAGGAGCAGGTAAAGAAGGGAAAATAAAGGAAGAAAATGGAATGAAGATTACGGAAGGGAGGAAGAAAACAAAGAATTGAAGTAGGAAGAAAGAAGAGAAGCAGTATATGAAAGGGAAAAGGAGAGGAAAAGACCAAGAGGGAGAATGAGAAGAAGAGAAAGAAAAAGAGGAGGAACAGTGCTGAGAGAGTAAGAAGAGTAGGAAAAGGAAATGAAAGATGAATAGAAGACAGAGAATAAAGAAATGTGAAGGTGCAGGAAGAGAAGAAGAAGGAAAATAAGAGGAGAGGAGAATATGAAAGACCAGAGATAGAAATAGAAGGAAAAGAAAAAGAAAATGAGGACGAAATGATAAAGTGAGAAGAGAAGAAGAAGAAACGAGAGAAGGAGAAAGTGAAGGGAGAGTAGAAGAAGAAAAAGAGGAGGTAGAAAAGATGAAAGTGCAGGAAGAGAAGAAGAAATAAGAGGAGAGGAACGAGGATATGAACAAGAAGATATAGAAATAAAATGAAAGAAAGAATGAAATAAGGAGGAAAAAAGTGATTGAGTAGGAAGAGAAGGAATAGAAACGAAAGAATGATAAAGAGTGCAAGGACTCAGAGACGGGAGCAGAAGGGTGAAAGCAAGTGGGGCAGAAGAAGTAAGAGGAAAATGCAGAGGAGCAGAAGATAAATGAGTAGGAAGAGAATAAGAAAAGAAAAGGAATGTGGGAGAACGAGGAGAATATAAAATTTAAGAACAGGATGAAGCGGAGGTAAAATAATTTGAAGGGTAACCAGAGAATGAGAAAGAGAGAAAGTAATACGACAATAATGCAGAAAGCGAGAAGCTTTCTTCCAGAGAGGGCAGCTGAGCAATTCCACGCGATTCGACTCCACTATCCTCTCTCTTCATATTCCATTTCCCTTTTCACTTCCTTATGTTAGTCTCATCTCTTGCTTCTCTCTGTTTCTATACACTTCGTTGTCCCCTCTCTGATTTGACAGCATTAATTGAATTTCAGGGTTCTCGTATTTACTGAGGGCACTAAGACGCAGCAGGTAGGCGGATAGTTACTGCTAAACTTCCCCCTCGGCTGAGTATACATCACCTGAACTGCCTAATACGAGTACCTCAACTTGGCTCTAATTTCAGGCAGTCTGTGTGCACAAACTTCATCATAAAGAACAATTGGATGCCTCTTCGTCTGACCCTTCTCCTCCTGTCCGGGAAGGAAGATCCTACCAGTAGCACTGCTGCCGCCAACATACTCGTACCATCATTCAGTTAACAACGCTCTTCAGCTCCACTAGTTACGCAGTGTCGAATGTTAAAACGATTTATGGCGATGAACTGGAAAGAATGTCGAAGACGGCGGTCGTGGCATATTTTAATGTTAAGTCCTAGCATTTGTTTGAAGGTAAAAAAGGTTAAGTGATCCCTGTAGCAGGCCGAGGAGGCCCATAGGGTTGTGAGAGGTTGAGGCTCCTACATTTTGTATACAATCGGCTCATAGATGGCGGTGAGGTTGTCAGCCTTACGCTTCGGCCGTCCTTTACCCCCAGGAAAATTCCTGGTACTAATTTCTGTTAGAGGCTGGCTCGAAGGGCTAAGTCAATTGAAAATTCTACTAACCACATCGGGAATCGAACCCGCGATCTTGCGGCTTGTAGCATAATGTTTCAACAACTACGCTACCACGTACCGGCGTTCCAACCCTCCCTCTCATGTGATACGAAACTCGAATAATACCCAATTTACAGCGAATCTCGGTTTAAATTATCTCAAAATTCTTATTCTTATTATTCGATTACCATTATTAATGTTTACGGCAAGGAATTAATTTTATCTTCGCTACTGTATTGGGATATATTCTAGATCCATTCAAATTCTGTCACTAGCCGAGGAAACAAATTTTTCCAATTAGTAAAACTGCTCTAGGAGAACGGGGGGACAGTTCCTCAAATTTGGTCACGACAACTTCCTTCCACGTCCATCAAAACTTCAAATTCAATTTCACCCAGACATTCGGCGCTATGAAGACTGAGCTGCCGGCAGCGTCTTTAAGTGGATCACGACTGAGTAAGTAAATAAACTGAGTTGGATAATCTGAGATTAGACTTGACATTTTCACGGCTGTGAACCTCTACCATGTAGATGGTGGTAGTACGTCCTTGCGAAACGTCAGTGAAGCTTTACCGAACTGTACAGGTTTACATTCCACCCTTCTACTTGCCATCTACTCCTTGTCGACTTCTTACTTGTCTGACTTATCAAACATGAAAATTGAGACATTAAGTTCATCTGAAACGTCTGTGAACTTGTACCGAACTACATGGTGTTACATCCCAGGGCTGTGCTTACGGACTGCTCCTGTACACTTCTTATTTGTTTCACTCTTCAAACCTAAAGATTCCGGTATTAGGTTTATCTGAAACGTCGGTGAATTTCAACCGAACTACATGGTGTTACATTCTTCAACCGCAGCTTCACATGTGGCCAGTCGGATTAGACAAACCAGAAGTCTCACTCCCCAAGCGTGCTATCGAATTTCTTCCCTCGTCCTCATCTAAACATCGATCAGGTTCCTTCATCCCTCTTGGTTTCTTCTTTTCCCATTCGCTTCGTCCTCTTCTTGCTGGTATTGACCCCGACGCCGCACCTTCTCTCTTTCCCCCTCCGCCCTGCAGCACCACAAACACATCCTTTCCCATGACTTTTCCCACCATTAGCACAGAAGGTCACTAATTCATTCATTTAGAAGGCTACTTTCCTCCCGCCAGGGTTTCAACCACCCTCCTTCCAAACAGACTATTGGTCCCTACATTTTCTTAAAGATTTTTTTAGGATCATCTTAGAACCCTCTCAGCATCCTCCCTTACACCGCGCCTAGT